GGCTGGTTTCGAACCATGATCCTCAGATCTCAGCCTCCTGAGTAGCTAGGATGACAAGGCGTGAGCCACCAGCTCCTGTGAATTCTTGTGTGACTTGAGCCCCTTCCCGTTCTCACAAACCCAGTTTGACCGTCAAATGTGGCAGCCTACAGACCTCCCAAGATAGCCTCACTCTGGGGACTTCCCCCATTCACCCCTGTAATAAGCCCTGAGTTATCCTCTTTGGAGCTACCCACCACTCCAAATAAGTATCTGTCCTCAGAGCCCGGTTACTACTCAGGAGGCTGAGATCTGAGGATCATAGCTGAAAGCCTGCCCAGGCAGGAAAGTCTGTGAGACGCTTATCTCCAATGAACCATTGAAAAAGCTAGAAGTGGAGCTGTGGCTCAAGTGGTAGAGGGCCAGCGGGGTGAACATGAGGCCCTGAATTCAAAGCCAGCAAGCAAGCAATGAAGTAGTTAATGGCCTGTGCCAGACAGAGATGGATGAGACCATGAGTCAGCCAGCAGAATCTTCTCGGTGAGCTGCTCACCAGGAACTAAGCAAGGGTGTGAAGGAACTAGCACCATGTTCATAGTTGCAGCTTCCTCGGTCCCAAGTGGACCAGGGAGACCAGACCAAGTCTTTCCTCTCCTGTGAAGCACAGGAAATGATTGCACCTCTGGCTCATCATGAGGACAAAATTGCTCTGTGATCAAAGAAGAACTCTCACTCTCTACCAGGGGAAAAAAAAGAAAAGCAAGGGAGGGAGAGAGAAAGAGAGGGAGGGAAGGAGGGAGGGAGAGAGAGGACAAGGAAGGAAAGAAGGACGGAAGGAAGGAAGGAAGGGAGGGAGGGAGGACGAATCAGGCACCGGTGGTTCACGTCTGTCATCCTAGCTACTCAGGAGGCTGAGATCTGAGGATCAAGGTTTGAAGCCAGCTGAACAGAAAAGTCTGTGAGACTCTTATGTTCCAATTAACCAACAAAATGCCAAAGTGGAGTGCTCAGGCCCTGAGTTCAAGCCCCAGGACTGACAAAAAAGAAAGAAAGAAAGAAAAAGAGGGGCTGGGAAGGTGGCTCAATGGTAAAGTGCTTGCCTTGCCTGCATGAGGCCCTGGGTTCGATTCCTCAGCACCACATAAGCAGGAAAGGCCTGAAGTGGCGCTGTGGCTCATGTCGTAGAGCGCTAGCCTTGAACTGAAGAGCTGAGGGATGGCACCCAGGCCCAGAGTTCAAGCCCCATGAACGACAAAAAGAAAAAGAAAGGAGAGAGAGAGGAAGAAAGGAGGGAAGAAGGGAAGAGAAGGGAAGGGAAAAGAAGGGAAGAGAAGGGGAGGGGAGGGGAGGAGAGGAGACTGGCTGTTAAACACCATTAAGTTATTTCCTGGTCAAATCAATAAACCTCCCTCCAGTGAACCTCTACAAAGGATATTCTTGCTGGGCATTGGTGTTCATGCCTGAAATCCAAGCTACTCAGAAGGTTGAAATGTGAGGATTGTGAGTCAAAACCGGCCCTGGGGGAAGAAAAGTCTCTATGACACTCTTATAGCAAAAGTGCCAAAGTGGAGCCATGGCTCAAGTGGTAGAACGCCAACCTTGAGCAGATAAAGTTAAGGGAGAGTGTCCTGAAAAGGACATCCTTGCCCCTCTGTGAGGGTTAATGAGATGTTCTAGAGCGCAGGTGACAGGGCCTGGGGATGTGGCTCAGTGGTAGAGTGCTCACCTAGCACGCACGAAGCCCTGGGTTCGATTCCTCAGTACCACAGACACAGAAGAAGCCAGAAGTGGCGCTGTGGCTCACGTGGTTGAGCACTAGCTTTGAGCAAAAGGAGTTCAGAGACAGGGCTCAGGCCTAAATTCATTCAATGATTTTCAAAAAAGAAAGGAAGAAAGCAGGTGTCAGTCATCTCAACGTAGGTAGAACTTTCAAGATCCCATAGATGCGTGCTTCCCAAGAGCACACCTTCCTTTCTTCATTCTGCTCCGGCCTCCACTGCTCCTGTCTGCTCAGGCAGGGAACCCTAGTAGAAGCAGGAACCCTAGACTTATTCTCAGATCCCTCTGGAGACTGCAAGGATGGGCTTAGGGCACCCTGAATGGGGAGCCCCAGCTTTGCTACGGTACCTTAAGTCTCAGATGTCATCCGACTATTCAAGCAACCTGCAGGAATCTAAAGAGAGGTGCAGCAGAGCACGGTTTGGGGTGATGGCTAGGTGCACACGCTCTGGTGACGTGGAGGTTTTTTGTTTTTTTTTTGCCCGGTTGTGGGGCCTGAACTCTGGGCCTGGGTGCTGTCCCTCAGCTCTTCAGCTCAAGGCTAGCGCTCTACCACTTGAGCCACAGCACCACTTCCGGCTT